AAACCCACTGGTGTTTTCTGGGGTTCAGAGGGTTGAACACAAACAGACAAACAGGGCTAAAATCACAACACTTTTGCACCATTAATAAATCTGTTTTGGCGAGTTGTGCCTCATAGAATAGTCATAGTCCCGTCTGTCTTTTTACTGATTTCTTTATGTGCGACTCAAGTTGTCTCTCTGACAACACAAGGAGAAGGTGAACACTGGTAATGATTAATAACAGCTAACACAGCGCTAACAGGCTAGCTGACTAATGACAGGCTGTGTGCTGTGGTGGCAGCGGAAGCTGAGGTTGAAGTAATGACAGTGGAGCATAATGGGTCTGACCTTGTATTTACACCGAGCAGCCTTTCATCTGCAGGGATGCAAGACGGATAAACCAGACAAATCAGACAGACGGAGAGAGCAGTAAGGGAAATGAAGAGGGATATCAAAGTTATAAGTGATTAGAAACTTATAAGATGAAATTAATTGCACAAAAAGGTGAAACAGGGCACACAAACACAGGTAAAGGTGTGAATTTAAGAGTTGTAACAAGTCTATAAACACACCTGATAAGATGAGTGAATAACCGGTGAGTGAAGACAAAAAGGAAAAGATAAAATCAGAGTCAACAAACAGGTGAGAGAGGCCCAAAGAGGATGACACAGGTCAGCAGACAGAAGAAATGCTGGGGAACAAAGTGGGTGAGAAGAAAAAAGGTTCGGGAAGTACATTTAGGGGAAAAGAAAGGAGCAGGTTGTATTTAGAGTAAGATGTATTTACTCAACAGATTAGTCACCATTATACCTCTTTGCTTTTGTCTGGAGAAGGAGGGACTGACTGACAGGCAGAGAAGGAGGGAGGATAGGAAAGAGCAAATCACCTCGATGTTTGTCAGGTGAAGGAGGTACTGACGGGTAGCATGAGGAGAAAGGAAATCAGAGTAATCAGAGCAGGGGCAGGATAAGAGAGGGGAGAAGTGATAAGAAAAAAAGACAAGGCGGGAGATAAAGGTTGCACGCTGAAAAACGAGCAGGTCGTGAGAAGTGGAAGGAGGGTGGCACTGTTTTTAACCCCGGAAGGTGTGACTGACTGACAGTGTGACTGACTTGACTAAAGACCGACAATGAGCTCTTCCTCCCGAGTGTTACTCACCCATAGGGAGGGTGAGGAAGAACGTTTAGCGTTTACATCAGTAATTACTGTTTTTACCTTCAGCTTCATGATCAAAGACTGCTGAAGCTCAAAAAAAACACACACACACAGATGGACAAATAGATGAATGCATACACCAGGTGTTGGCTCGTGCCTTGTGGGCGTGGTAACCATTACGTTGTCATGGGAATGATGAGCTCACACCAGTGCTGCCACACTTCCAGGAACGATAAGCTTGTTATGATCAGTTGGGCATTACGTCTAGCTGAGGTCAGACTGATTTGGCTTTTTGAAGGAAGAAAAAAAAAAAAAGAAGCTTTTTTGACTGACTTGCACGGACACATTTGCTTTAGTTAGACATGCAAAATAAAAAAATATATAGTTAGCTTATGAATAAAAACATTTATTAGCTCTAATATAGTAGGGGCTGACGCTGCTGATGTACAGCTCTGTTTTTACTACAACATCCAGTGTTTGACAGTTTTTGGATGTCAGCTTGTTGTATAATAAATTACTACTTGGATTGGAGGTATCGCTCATCACAATAAATCCACAAACAATTATTACCTGACTATGCCATTTGCCACTTTATGTTTTGGTAACTTTAGTGTTTTGGTGTTATGCAACTTGTTTTGGCATCATCAGATTGCCAGTTTCTGGGAAAATACTCCAGCTCATGCACTGACCTTTACCAGCCCAGCACCAAAGGGCAAATAGACATTTAGCTCCTACTTAGTGCAGCACTCAGCAGCTAACAAGAAATATGACCGGAATCGAGATAAAAGAAGAGGGAATATTAGATGTACTTTTGCTGGGTGGGTACAAACATTACTCCAAATGTATGATAATAGGTTCATCATGAAAACTTTGTAATTTAAAATACATCAGTTTTGGGTTTGTTCCTCTGCTGCTGCCACCATGTGGTCAAAAATTAATTTGTGCAGCTTTAAGTATGATTTTGGACCTTCTGATAGTAATCATATGGAAAGATTAGACAAATCAGACCACCTCTAGTTGCTTTACATCCAAACCTCAAGAATTTCTCGTTCTAGTTCCAGTTAATGTAGGTTTTCGCTTTGAACTCCAGGCCTCACTCACTTTTTTTTTTTTTTTTATCATGTTGAGCCATCGTACATTGAAACATCCTCATCATTTTTAAATTACACGAAATTAGTACAAAAAAAATGAACTCTTCTGTGCAACAGTGATTAGAAATCCATCAGTCATTATGAATTCCTTAATCACACATTTACATTTTACCAAAGATGCGTGAGATTGTTTTTGTTCTATTAAGAGCAAAACAAGACAAATAGAAAATGAAAGCTGAGGGAAATCCACATAGGAGAGAAGAGAGGCAGAGACACACCACCTGGATGCTGTCTACATGTATGAACCGCCCATGTGTCATAAAGACATCAGTAATGCGTCAGTAAAAAGATAAAAGAGCAAAAGTATTTTTGTCCTGTTTGTCCGTAATCAGAGGCTTAATGAAAAGACCCTCGAGTAAGTGAGACACGGAAAACAAGACGCTGAAATGATAAGTCTGTAACTGTTTCAGTTTGTGTTTACATGAAGGACCTCCTCCGTCGGCTCTAATCAAAGACTGAAAGACCAGACGGCAGAGTGAATCAGAAACAGACTAAATATTGGCAGTCAGTCACTAATGTTAGTGGTCCTAAACAACAACTACATGTAACGTTGGTTTCTCAGAAGACATTTTTATCCAGTGAGTTACCAATTAGCATCTGTTAGATGTATCTGGGCATGTTTGGAATCTAGTTAGTGGTTTAACACCTCACAGTTAGTGTGCACTGATAGCCAGAAAAAGCCAAAAACCTCAACCTATTATCTGATGTCAAGGATTAACTTAAGGCAGTGGAGTTTTTAAGGTAATAATTGTCCATTTCAGTAGTTTCCTACCTTGGAAAGATATGATTGAGTCGAGCATTTGTTGTGTCATAAAATGTTTTATTGACCATTTACGTTTGCATTTTTAATGTATATCACTACACAGACTTACTTGTATTGTTATATATTTCATTAATTTACCTTTATAATAGAAAATATCCTGTGTTTGAGTTTATTGTAGCTTGTCTTTACTTCAGCTTTACACAGCACCTATTTAGTTTTCACCCTTATCAATAGGTCTCTTTCCATATCATAGACATTTGCTCATTTCTGACTAAATGTTTACACAATGTGTCACACCAACCAAGCATATCAAAAATGACAACTTCTTGACTCCTTTTTTCTTATGTAAACCTGTGTCATCTTGTTTGACATTTTCTTCTTGTCCCACATTGGATTTTAGGATTTTACCCTTGAGGTAGAACCACGAATGGCATCGTGGTGATGATATTTATGATGATGATGATGATGATGGAAATGGCATTAATGCTCCTCCTCCTTAGAAGGACATGAGATTTCAGTCAAGCTGATGTCTGCATATTCTTCAGCATGGCCAAGGACTGGATGTGGGGGTTGGCTGGGTGGGGCATGGCAGGCAGTGAAAGAAAAAAAAAAAAAAGAAACGATGGGCTTTTAAAGTGTTCTCCTTTTTTGCCCTGATGCTGGCTGAGTAATATCTGGAACTGCTCCAAAGCACGGTCACCTTTTTCTGTGATCGATACATGCATGTTAGCGAGCATAAACACAGGCAAATAGCGAACGACATGCTGAGGCACAGTTTTCTTAAAGGCTCAAAAACTTATCCATGTCACCTTTTTCTTTAAAGGGATTAGGAAAGTGTTAACAAGCAGTTAATAGCATCAGCAAACAGAACAATCTGCCTAAAGCCCCCCCCCGAATGGTTTTCAGGTGACCAAGAGGGAACACAGATTAGCAAACTAATGAGGAAGAATAGAAGGATATGTAAACACAAAACAGAAAACAAACAAAGGAAGCAAAGGTGACAGCCGAGATTCTCATCTGTTGACGGAAAAAGGTGGAATCGGCTCACGGATTCCCTGCATTTGTGCTTGTGTGGGTTTTTGTTCAGGGCTGCTGTTTGTGAATTGAGGTTCTATGAAGGTGTGTCGATGTGGCATTTGCAAAGAAACGCATGGGATGTGGTGGCTTCAATGTGTCTATGTGTGTTTGGCAGCTCAGTGTTGTGTGTTTGTCTGTGTCACGCTTAGTTGTTCTTCCACAAGTGTTTTCTCCTCCTCTTGCCTCGTGTTCGTCTCTCTCTGTATTGTACTCTACCTGTTCACTGTGTTCCTCGATTCTACTCACCCCAACTCTCCATTGTGTCAATGAATGTAGGCATGACTCTGTTTTTTATTGTGTCTCTGTGTCTTTATTTGGGCTGCTACCCGAGCACTCGTCATGTCCTCACCAGTCTGTGTCTCATGCTGCTGCAGCAACACTCCTCACCAGTCTAGACTGCATAGAGGAACAATTCCTCCATACCAATGATTTGATTTCCTTACTTTGCTCCCCGAAACCATTGATGAGGATGATCTTGATTGTTAGAATTAAAAAGGACAGAAACTTTTCTGTTATTAGAATTCATAGCAACAGAAACATTTCTGTTCATTTCCTAACCCCAGGTGTTTATTTGCTTGTTATTTCTTTTCTTCACATGCTTCATCTAACTGAAATTCATCTTTAGCGTTGCATTTTGCTGCCTAGACTGGTACGTTTGATGTCATGATGGCCGCTGACTGTTTGTCTGAGCTTATTTCTCTGATCGTCGTTGTGCACACGTGCGGCAGAAACCCGCTCCCTGCTAGCCTGGCTCAGCGGTGGCCATGTTGGATTAATGATGGACTCGTCCTGCCCACTGCTTCTCCTCCACCCACAATGCTTGAGCTTCATCGATTAGCTATTGATCGTCTCTCTTGTTCCTCCCTCTGTGATAGCGAGCAGATGAGACCATCACAATTGACACCACGCTATTGGTCCATTTCTTTGGGAAGAAAGGAAAGGCAGAGCTTACCTTTGATGACTTCTACAGGTACGAGAAATAAGTAGTGGACCGTGCCAAATGTGCGCTAATGCTACCAATCTTACCAGCATCACAGAACTGCAACATCTTTTGTTAACTAAGTTTCTCTTTTTCTCCTCATCCCCGTTTTTCCTGCTTTCAGATTTATGGATAACCTGCAGACGGAGGTGCTGGAAATCGAGTTTTTGACTTACTCGAAAGGGATGACCATCATCAGCGAGGAAGATTTTGCCAAAATCCTGCTGCGCTTCACTAACGTGGAGAACATCAGCGCCTACCTGGAGAATGTCCGCCAGTGTATACCTGATGAAAAGGTACAGTTCAGACACGCACAAAATTATTCACTGCGAAAGGAACACAGGGACATCGGTTCACCTGATCCTTGGTTAGATAACATCAGATAGGTTTCCTGATCTGTATCCATCTGTTTCATTTCTCCTTCTTCCTTCTATGGATGCTCCTACCCTCAAGTCATCTAGAGCACCTGTAATTTCCCATCGTTGTCTCTGCCTGAGGCTGTTGTGACTTTCCACACATCAGCGCTCCACTGCTTCACTTGACCTCACACACACACACACACACACACAAACACACACGTTTGACTGCACTTTCAGCTACATGTGAATGTCTGTATATCAATCTATCTGTCTAGCTGTCTAACTATGCTACCCAGCTACACTTTGGCATGTAGTCCTTATGCAACCCAACTCTATTTCTGTCCCTCCCTTCTTTCCTTTTCATGCTGTGGAAGAAGCAGGAGGTTGGTCTCTGCCTCGTTCAATACACAACCTGCAGTTACAATCTGTCAGTCTATCCTGCTATTTTGTTAATTTTGCCATCTTCTTCGTTTCTCCCTTTGAGGGATTTTTAGTTTAAAATACACAGAAAACGTGTGTATTTTAATTTGCATCTGCTCGTGCGAATACGCAAAACCGCATTTCTTTATTTGCTTAAACATGTGGATTTTATTTATTGTGCAACATTGTATTTATTTATCTGCTATAGGTTTGAACTGGATTCACAGAAAACGCATGTGGCACTGTGCACAACCTTGGAATTTGCTCACATGGGTTTTGAATGTACAGTATCCTTATTTAGAAAAAACAATAATGCTCAGGTGGTTTTGGCCTCGTTGTTACATCTTCAATACACAATCCGATGCCATCTGAACAGCCAGCGATGGCTTGAATGGTTTTAGCATTAATGCTGTATGCAGCTGCTTTCAGGTTATGAAACACTGCAAGAAGGCTGCTCTTTACATTTTCCATGTCATGCCCACACAGCCCTGCCGTTAATGACTCCTTATGTCATTAACAGGGGAATTTCATGAGATCTCTTGGTTACTGATTGACAGCATGAGGTTTTTAATCTTTTCAGCCAACAGAATGGATGTGCATCAAGGAATGTGTGCACGTCAAGCCCCTTTGGAGTCTTGCTCTGAAATACTCATAATTCTCATTTTCAAGCTTCTTTCTCTCCAGAGAAGGTCATTTTCTTCTCCCCTTTGGTTGTTTGCCTCACACATGGTTTCTCCTCATGTTTCAGGGAATCACATTTGATGAGTTCAGATCCTTCTTCCAGTTTCTCAACAACCTCGAAGACTTTGCCATCGCCATGCAGATGTACAATTTTGCTTCACGTTCCATTGGACAAGGTAGATATGATTGTTTTTAGCTGGAGCTGCAGGCAGTGAAGTTCTCTGCTTACGCTCATCTTCAAGCCTTGTCTGCACCAATTAGACCAAATAATCTGAATAGGTTTTACTTTGTGTCCTACCAGATGAGTTTGCAAGAGCAGTGTATGTGGCCACGGGGCTCAAGCTGACGCGTCACCTTGTTCACACCATCTTCAAGATATTTGACGTCGATCACGATGACCAGCTCTCGTACAAGGAGTTCATCGGCATCATGAAGGACCGGCTGCACAGGGGAGCCAGGGTGAGGAACTTGCTGCTAGCTGAGAAAAAAGTGCTAAATCACAGCCCATCACAGCCGCGAGAACATCAGGAAAGAGTGAGATTTTATTGAACCACTGTTGTGAAATATACTTCCCTTCACCTAAAGGTCAGAGGTCAAGTCTGGAACACCTACATAATGATGGTTTTTGGATTTAAATTTAGTGTGCGGGGCTGGGGGTGGCCTTAATGTTTTGCCTCATCGGTTTAAAATCCAAGACATCCAGCATTACCCTGAAAACTTTGTGCGTGAAGGTAAATTATGAAAAGGAATTTGAGTTATCATTCTGAATAAGGTTATCCTCTCACATCTTTGTAATGTCTCCAGTGTAATAAATCAAGGAGTCTCACATTGTGAAACATAAACAAAAGCTTTGTAATTCTGAAACGAGCATAATAAAGGCTACAACAGTTTAAAATGATAGGCTTTCTCAAACAGCTAACAAGCATCTAGTTTAGCTTTAGCTTTAATGCCGTACTTTTGTGTCACAGGTAGACAAATTGGAAAAAAGAAAAATATTGTCTTGGTTTTGTTGCGCAAGCTATGTTAATTCAAACCCAGGTGATCCCAGTATCTTTAGCAACAACTGCCCATCCCTTAAAATTATTATTTTCACCTATTGTCAAACAACAAAAGCTAGTATTGCAGTTCTGCCACTGCAAGTTAACTCAAATATTTACAGCAAATGAAAATATATATCAAAATTACTTGAACGAAAAAGATATTTGGAACATATTGTATTTAGCGTGTACACAGGAATCTTCAAAAACTGCGTGGGGTAGACGAAAGCGTATTCAAATTGTAAAAAGTCTGAGAAGGACCTCTTTGTAAATGGCAGGAATGTCAAACATCTTAAATATTTACAAGGTTGTGGAGTTGTTCAGGGATTAGATTCGCAATGAATGAGCCGTGTAGACTGACAGCTTTTTCTTATCGCTGCCTCAAAGTGACGAAAAACTCTCGACTGAACTGGAAATCACCCTCAGTGACATTATGGTGCCGTCTCCAAAGGCCACACTGCCCTCCAGTGGTGTAGTTTGATAAAATCTGGCAAATCAGAGGCTCATTTTTCTGAAACAAATAACAGGAAATGTGATGCGGTTCCAAGCTTAACATTTGCCTGATATGCTGCAGATTTCACTAACACTGCACAACAGCAGATCTAGCTCCTTGTGCGTCCTTTGATGGCTTCACAGTCTTGGCTTTTTAACAATGTTCTCTTCTTCCATATCTCTCTCTTTCTCTCCGTCTCCCTGTGCTGTGCTTCATTTTTGAATCTACTCTCTAACCAACACCTTCTTCTCAATTCCTATCCATTGTCCCACACTCTCATGCCTTCTGCCTTACTCATTTTCCTCACTCGCCTCGATGGCTGTCCACTGACATCTCAGGGCTATAAAGCTGTGGAGCGCGCCACCTCCTTTAAATCCTGCCTGAAGAAGGAGCTGGCAAGCAGATAAGTATCACTAAGAACTATAATAATAAACAACAAAATAAGTTAATGAAGTTTGTTAGCCTTTGTTTTGCTACCATATTTTAGGTCCAGGCTGCAATTTTTTTGTAATTGAAAATGTGTAAATCCTGTATTTGGAATTGAGATTCAATCTAGTAGTATTGCTTCTACTACAATGCGTCAATGGGTTTTCATAATATACACACACAATATGTTAAGAGGTCACATTATACAGTCACAGCAGCTGTTACATAAACTTCCTGTGAACTAGCAACATTTAAATTCACTATATTGTGTACCCAACAGCTGGTTCCTGAATGTCTTAACTTTGGAGAATCCAGAATGAGTTCCAATAGGATCAAAATAGTCATTATTATTATTAAAATTTTGTAATTTTTAAATCATTTTACTCCACTTGAGTGCTTTTAACCATTAAAAGGATGAGATAAAAGCATCAGTTACGTAGCACCAGTAACTGTAGTCACTGTGTCTTATAATATGTAGGTAATATGTTCACTATGGAAGCTGAAATGAACTGAGTTTTTGACATGTACTGCCTCCCATTGCTCTGTGTTTACCAGGTGAAGGGCCAACAGCACGCCTCCTTCTCCAGCTGTGTTCGCTCTGAGGCCAGGAGACAACTTCACCAGCTGCGGAGGAGGTACCAGGAGAAGCCGTAGAGGACAGAGGAAAATTCTGCTGTGCTCCGACTTTATTCAGTCAGCGGTCGAGTTAGCAGCATTTGTTTTCAGCCACAAAATCTTCCATTGACTACCAAGTCAGATAATAACTAAAAGCATGACTGTGCCACACCGGACTGATGCTGTCAATACTTATAATAAGCAACATCATTCCTTTTTCTGGTTGCTTTTTTCCCCCCCAGACATCTATTTTGATTTGATATCAGTGATTCAGAGTGTGAGTTGTAACTGAAAGAGCACAAGAACTATGAATTAAATTCGAGGTCATATTATCCATGTAAAATTAACAACAATAATTTAAAAATAAAATCTGCAAAAGACTAAACTAGCAGAATGGATTGAAGATATTGTAAATATGTATTGTCCTCACCTTATTTTAATTATACCAGCGTGTTTCCTCTTACATTTTCTTCCATACCATCTATCCACCTGCTTGTTATTGCACTGAGAGAGTATATAAACACTACCGCTACAGTTATAAATGCAATATTATCCTCATATTACAGCAGCACTTGAGATGTCTTTGGGTTGGATGTGACAACATACAGTTGGAATGACAAAGGAAGAGTTCTTTTATGTTAACATTCAATATTTTATGTGACTGAATCCTTCATGTCTTAACCTGTTTTGTGTTTGAAAGGCTTAGGTGCATGTACCTCATAGATACCCACATCGGTGCCTTCTATCCATTCCCCTTGTCATCCGGAAACCTGTCACAGTAACCCAGACTTTTGAAGCAGTTAATTAACACTGTGTAGCTGTTAGCAGCAACAGAATGGCCAAACGTGTGCAATTATTACTTTATTTGTGTTATATGTGATTAGTATTACCCAGAGGCATTGCTGAATGTTGGGTAAACCGGGATAAGACGCCTCCCTTAAGAACAATGTCTGTTTGCTTTTCAAATATATATATATATATATTGAATTTCAATATTTACACAGGAAGTATGCTGAAGTAAACACATTTTGAGGGTAATTACATCATACCAGACTATAACTTCATTCTAAACCATTAAAAAATCCTGGAAAAGGCGGCATCTTCCTTGGGTCAAGGGGATAATGCAAGCTTATTTATATGCAAGACTAACTTTATTGTGAAATGTTGATGTGACTCTTATTTTAACTGCAATATAAATGTTTGACATATATAGACATATATAAAAATGGTTTTGTTGTTGGCTGTTAATTTAGAAATTCTAGGCTTAGGACAGAAGCTATGACTTTTATTATAATCTGTATTACTATTGAAATTCCTGACTTAACAATGTCAGGTCACCGGGGATGCTTTGCCTACAGTAGAAAGAAATTCTTTTGGAGGAAAAGCATCCCCGTAAAAGCATTTTTAATCTTTTTGTTCATTTGTTTTGTTCAAACTAGTAGATAAGTTTGACTGTCGTGTGAACAGTACAAGGATTTCAGTGCTTTTCAAAAGATCAGCAAGGCCACTGTCATCAAAAAACCTGAAATGAAAAATGTGCTGTATATAGTGGTAAGGAGAGTGAAATGTTGGGGGGTTGTTACCCCCAGTTTACCCACATTTTTAGATGCCATGGTGTAAAATATGGGAAATAATTTGAATATATTGAAATGGAAAAAGTCTTGATGTTTTCGGGATGCTGAAGTTATTTGTCATAATGTGATTTATTGTCACATTTGCAATAATCACGTGTTTGTCCCATCAGCGGATCTGGTGAATGAATTTTCATGCATGAATAAACTATTTTAGGAAAAGATGCGGAATCGGTGGTATTTATTGAGCATGCGCAATGAAACGCTTTACGTCAGCAGCTGCTAATTGAGGAGATGCACCCGTTTCACTCGAATTTGTTGGTATGAAACCTTAATATTGCCGTGAAATACAACAAGGACGAACATTTTATAGCGGTAAGTAGTTTGTTTCAGTGTTGACACTAAGACCTGTTCAACTCATAAAATGTAGTTTTCCACTTTCCAAAACATGACTGCAGCTTCGAAATTGTGACTGAAACATTGTCATTGGCATCAAAAATAAAGTGATTTTATTCACGAGGGTCGTATTTCAAAGAACAAAGCCCAAAGAAAAGTTGCAAAAGAGATCTTTTATTTATTTGATCTGTAAAGCCCATTTTAAATCATGTTAGTCGCAGTATAAACAAGGATATTAGACATGCACATACAGCATACACATCAAAAACAATACTGCGATATTGCTTATATTCTAGGAGGACAACTATTTTTTTTTCACGAGTTATTGATTTGTTGAATATCAGAACATTTTGAAAACTGTTCACCAATGTTTCCCAAAAATCAAGATTACGTCCTCAAATGTCTCGTCTTGTCCACAACCCGACGATATGCTGTTTACGGTCATAGTTAGAGGAGGAAAGACACCAGAAAATAATCCGATATAAGAAGGTGGACACAGAGAATTTAGACAGTGTTTCTTAAAATAAATGAATAAAACACTCAGTTATCACCAATAGTATTAACCAATAGTTAATTTGATTTGGCCGTTGTGATTGTTTGATCCCGATAAAAGCATCTATAAACGTTTAGAAGCTGTTTGTTTTTCTTTTTTTTAAGCTAATTTTGATGTTTTCTAGATTGTGTGTGTCTGTTGCTTGTTGTTTTACTAGACGGGACCGGAAACCTTTAAAAACCGCACAACGAGGCGCTTCACGTGTTCGCGGAACTTTTCTTCTATACCGGCTTCCTGTCCGGAACTGTAAAGACGACGCACCGTGCAATATATATTTCGTATAAGAGCAACAAAAAAAAAAAAAAATGCTACAGCTGCTATCAAATGAGTCGTTTATTTATCTACATATTGTTCAGTCAAAGATCAACTTAAAGGCTCGCACAGGTTCTTTGAAAAGTGAATAAATAAACCCCGATGACGTACATGACTTCGAAAAGCATTGTGGGTGATTCGAAATTAAACTATCACAATAAAATAAACAGCTTTAGAAGCAGTTTAGACGTAAAGTGGTGTTATCGGTATTTTGCGCCTTTTGACACCTTCGGTATCCGGTTATTTTCGTAGTTGCAGACAACAAAATGAAACTCTGACTGAGAACGGTTGCTGTGCGAATGACCTCCTGACTTCAGCCTGTGTTTCGTTAAGACTATACTTTCAGGGATCATTTCTATAGTTCTTAACTTGAGAAATGTGTTTCTAAAGTGTTTGGTCTCGCCAACCACGATGATGAGACGTGATATTCCTTCCTGAGCGCGAAGCGGGCAGAGAATAATGATTCACTTCATACGTTCTTTGCCATTGATGACCGTTCTTTGCTTCCTCGAGGAGCATTGAGGGAGGGAATATGATCAGAGTGGTTGCCGCAAATTGTTTAAAGCAAGAATATCAGACTCTGACCTACGAGATTTTGGCCCCAAATGATTATTAAAGCTGCCCCTGGTATATTGTACAGCGCTTTCACCGCTAATACTACAAGTCCCATAATGCCTTGTTGTTGTTATGACACGTCAATCAGGACAGGAGCCAGAAACTCCCTGTTCTCTGTGACTCTACTCATAGCAACTTCACACTGTCACTGTGCCATTGATGTGTTTTTTTATTTATAATTTATAATTTATTTGTAATTTGATTTTGCATGTCTCCACTATTAAGTTGTATATAATGTATAATGTGTGGTAATAAGCGTTGTTTGTTCCATATTCAATGTCCATATTAAAAGGTTCATTTGTTCAATGTTGTCCCGTGACTTTGTTCAGGTTTTAAATTTTGGCCCACTGTGTTTTTGAGATTGACACCCCTGATAGTTTTTCCTCCTCTCTGAAGCAGGTAATGATCAGCTCCTGTACCTCTGAACCCTGAGTGACAATGACACTGCTGTGAATGAGATGCAGTTTTAAGGTTCAGTCAAACTAAGACTATACTTTCAGGGATCATTTCTATAGTTTCTGACTTGAGAAATGTGTTTCTAAAGTGTTTGGTCTCGCCAACCACAATGATGACTTGTGATATTCTCTTCTGAGCATGAAGCTGACAGAAAACAATGATTTATTTCATGTGTTCTCTGTCATTGATGATTGTTCTTTGCTTCTCTGTGGAGCATTGATGAAGAGAATATGATCGGAGTGGAGTCAGAACTTTGTTAAAGAAATATTAAAATGATCTGCTTTGTTTATGCGAAAGCTCCTGGAGAGATAGAGTAGATGTCATTGAAAGACAGTTGAGACTGTGTGTTACTGAGAGATGCTATAAAGACTGGAATAGAACTTGGTAACTCTCTGATCTCCAGGCAGTTTCCAGATGGTTTTTTTTTGGGGGGGTCACATTTTTAGCCATTATTGGCTTATTTTTTTCCCTGAAATATAAACAAATTGCTACTCCTAAGAATCATAAAAATATTGGATTTCTCAGATTTTTCAAATTTATCCTTAAAAAAATGTTAACCTAGAATCAAAATGGACAAAGTGTTTTCCAAATGCCCACATGTTACCTGCAGTAAACATGGTGGCTCTACAAATGACAGATATTTTACTACTTAGATTTGTACTTTGTCTCCATCATTGTCTT